TTTAAAATTGTGTTTAATCAGTCTGACTTAAGAAATTTTATTGCATTATTTGTAATAGCATCTGACTTACAATTTAATGGAATTTTTTTATTATTTTTGAATAATTGAATGATAATAGCATCAGTGGTTATAAGGAAAATGCAAATATTGTCAGTTGACACATTTTTAAGGGGGGGGAAGGCGCATGGTATTTTCAGAGGTAAATGTGAGAACAAAGATTATGCTATTGATATTAGATTAAAGAAGTGTAAAGTTTGTCTTTCTCAACAAAGGATATGTATCACTTTATTACTATTAGTTCAATTAATTTTTCAATTTAATTATAATTGGTAAAAGGAGTTTACTTTCACTTTGCTGTTATAGAAGAATACAGTATAAAATCCGAGATCCGGATGTCCAATATTCGGAGTGATCTAAAATCTGAACCTCAAAGCCTCCACGAACTTTGTGTGTGTGGTGTGTGTGCTTTACACATGCTCATTTGATTCCCCCTGCACATAATAAAACATGTGGAGAGTCCCAATTCTTAATTTTACTTCAGCACTAAATGAAATACCTTGTTATTGAAGAAACAATTATTTCAGCATAAATTTGTATGGTCAATAATTTTGCTCCGTAGCTGTGTATCTGTTTGGCATACATCTCAAACCGAAGCATTCTGCATACATATCATCACCGCATGTTTATCAACATGACAACTTCAGTCATGATTCATGCAGCTATGCCCAAACAATTTTTTTATATTAGTTATTTAATAAACAAAGAGTATGGTAACCTTTTATGTTGACATTACGCTTAAGAGTGATTACAGATTTAAGTTAAATACACTAAGAAATGTTCACAGAAAAAATGTAACAAAAATTTATTTCCATATGCTAAAAATAGATTTTGTTAATGATACTCATATGCCAAAAGATTACATTTAATTCTATTTGAATTAAGAATAACTGATTTGTTATTCAAACCTAGAACCAGCACCAGAGCTCGTATGGCCGCCTCGAGCAGCAGAATTTAGGGAAGACAAAGGGAGGTGCTTGGTAGCAGAATTTAGGACCCTCAGAGGCTGCATCAGGTGGTAAGCCCTCAATAAGCCTTAAGTATATGTGGGAATTTATTTTTTCAGAACTCAGATAAGCCTTAAGCTTGTGCAAGGGCTAGGCATAAGTATAATAAATAACTAAACAATTCAGGCTTAATTGTCTTAGTGCACAATAGAAGCAAGATAAAATTTAGCGGAACAACTTGTCTTTAGTCCCCAATCTCATGATACATAGCCAAATATGTATAATAAACGGTAGCTAAATTTTACCATGATAGCTGCGAATCTGAAGGTTTTTGACATCAGAAACCAAAGGGGAAATTTTCTAATTAACGGATTTTTAAAGAAATGTGGAGAAGCTGTAATAAATGAAGATGATATAGAGGAAGTTTTTCATTGTAATGACAATGCTCCTCAATCATCAATCAATTAACAGATGGCAAAATCTGTAGTATCATTCTAGATCCAGAAAATATCGCTACCGATAGTGAAGAAAGTGACAGAGAGGTTACTGAAAACAAAAAAAAAAATTCGATTGACAAGCTAGTCGAAATTCTAGGCACAGTAATTACAGTGCTTCAACAATGGAACTTTGTAACTGAACAAGAAATTATGTCTGTGTATAGAATTAAAGAGAAAGTATTAGCACAAAAAAACAAAACAACTTAACTTGAAAGAAATGTTTAATAAAGTAAAGAAATAAATTTTAAGCTTTTTGTTTCCTAAACTTTGATACCCATTAGATCATAAGTGCTTCATTATTTCATAAATCACGATTTCATATTTTTAATTTTATTATTTCCACATGCCATCTTACTAGATTTAAACTGATGATCTAATATCCAGAAAAATCCCAAATCCAGAATCGCAGGAATTCCCGATGAGTCCGGATCTCGCACTTTGTACTGTATATATGTATCATTAGTATTTTATATGTGTCATATGCCAGGGATTAATTTTAAAATCATGCACTTTAAGAAGAAAAGTATATTATTATTTTTAGGCTAGAAAGAGTAAATAACTAGAATAAAAAGTATTCTTAAAATTTGTTTAGACTCCCTTTTTTACACATATATATATTCTTGCACATGAGTGCATATAATTTCGAAATGGATTGAGTGTACACAAAACCAATGATAATGTTTATTTTCTTAAAAGAAACACTTTGCAATTCTGAAACTTTTCACAATATTCACAATAATAAAAGCTTGCTCTGTGTATTAACTGTGATAACTCATGGAACTGGTTTCATGTTATTTAAAAATATTTTTCAGCTTCAGTTTTCATACAGCTCTCCTCAGTATGGCAGGGCAAAATCAGTATTTACCACTTCAAACTACTGAGAATGTTAAATAATAGACAATATAAGAAATAAGCGCCAAATGCATAAGCTGGTTCAGCGATCTCTCAATACTCTGAATTAAACTAAACTGATACTCTCTCTGGTCTTATATAATTTTCCCCCACCTGCCTAAAAATTTCCTGTACCTTTGATTTCTCGAAATTGCTGGTAGGCATACATAGTTACAGTTACATAGGGTTAGTAATATAGGGATCAGACAAAAATGTCGCGAAGTTCAATGAGTGGACCTAAGTTTTTATATTTTTATGCTACATGTATGTATAATATTTTTTGTAGAAGCTTCCAGATTTATTCATTATTAATTGTTTAGAGGTCTTTTCTTGTCTCTAATTTACATATATTTTTAAAGACAGTTTTATGTAAAAAATACTGCTCAGAAAGGTATCTTAATTATTAATTGTGATCATATTTTTATAAAAATAAATTAGTCTTTTTTTATATATTTATTGTGTTCTAATATGTAAAATTTCTTAAATTCTGTAATGTTAGCATTATAAGACATTTAAAATAACTGAAGCTTTTAACATAATTTAAAAAATACCTTTTGATTACAAACATTAAGTATTAATATGAATTAAATATTAGAAAACATGTAGGTAAATTAGCCTTAAAAGAGAGGACATTGTTAAAGCAATTGAGTGAAATCCTTCTTAATGATACCTCTTTTAATTTGTTCACAATCTAGTGTTCTATATTTTTGTTATAAATCCTCTTGTGTAATTTATTACACAAGATGTTAAACTAAAGGTTAAATTAAAGAATATATGTTGTGTCTTTTCGTTAGATTGGATACAAAAAATAGTCCAACTGTTGGAATTTCAGTATTTTGTGAAGCTTTCAGGACTCGGGAATATTTAAGTGATGTGAGTATCATATATTTGAGATTAATTTTTATCACAGTGTGCTTTTTATTTTATACTGATAAAATCTTTGTAATATTCACACAGTGATCTTTTTGTGTTAAACTAATTTAATGCAGTATTGATGCTCATGGAGGAAAATATGAGCTTTGTTTCATATAGTTATTTATTCAAGTTTATCTATTAAAGGAGATTTATCAATCAGTTCTTATCTTAAAGGAGCACATTTTTTTTATGAAACCATTAGTGTATTATCTTTCTCACTGTTAACTATTTGAATACTAGTGTGTCAAATTAAGCTGAATAAATTCACTGAATAGTTCATGTGTCAATATTTGATTATCAGTATTATAGTTTTAGCACTCTAAAGTAATTTATAAGCTGAATAAATTTGCTGAGCAAATCATTTGTTAATTCCTGAACTCTAAGTTGATTGCATTAGTTATATTTGATACAGTATTGCAAGAGGAAAGTGACAAATGCAAATATGTTTGAGGTTAAAACTCAAATGTGTTTTGGTCACATGTGACTGGCATGACTGCAGTGACATTAAATATTAGAATTATTTTCAAATTATATAAAACACATTTATATAAATGTTTAATTGAGATCTTTGAAAATGTATTTATTATTATAGATAAAGATTTCAGTAAAGTGTCAGTCACATAAATGAAAGAAAATAGCTTGCATTGTAAAGCAAAAACCAAATTGTGTATTAAAAATAAGCATTCTAATATATTTGATATTTTACTACATGATTTTATTTTTTTATTTTTTCTAGTTTGTAAAAGTTTTGAAACATGTATCTCAAATTAATGAGTTAGTTATGGAAGGCTGTATACAGGAAATTGATGTTGCTGTTTTGTGGTCTGAGAAATACGAAGACACATTACAGAGTTGGCTAAGGTGGAATGTATCTTAACAGTGTACATAAAGCATTTCATTTGGTGTAGATTAGTTCATAAAATATTTTTACATAGTCATCAACATGATTTAAATAAATGTTTGTTATTCATGTTTCTCTATTTTGTTGTGCTAATCTTTTTATGAAATTTAAAACATTAAATTCATGTAACAAAAAACACCAAAGAAATTAAAGAGTAAACAATTAATAATAGCAGCAACAAATATGCAGTGGTCATTGATTTATTGTAGTATGGTTTTAAAGTTAAACAGAACCTTCTTCAGTTACAGGAGGGAAACTGGGGAAAAAAAGAATTATGTGCCTACATAAAAACAACAGAGAGCAATTAGGGAACGGTTTAGTTAAATGAAAGACAACAAAGTTGTTAGTACCATCATTTGTCAGAAAATCAAATGAAAAGCAAATAAAGGGCACATTCTTGAAAAGCTGATGGTAAAGAGGAATTAGAAATGAAACCATTAACAACAGATGAATATTTTTATAAATTCTTATTTTTCATGATTATCATTTAGATGTCAATTCTGTCAGTCTATCCAGCTGTTGGCAGAAAAGGTTATCTGCAGCTTGCTCAGACACAGCATCTCCCAGTTGAATATTCCCCAAACATTCTACCAGGGATGGATGGAGCTGATCAGATTGATGCAGAAAACTATCACAATAGCATTTTAAGTTTAAAAATTTGAAAATGCTGATACTTAAATAATGGTAAATTAAATATGTATTTTGTATTGTAATAATTGTCAAGTATAAAAAGTAATTATAACAAAAATATAATAAAATTTTAATGAATTTAATAAAACCTATGACATGATCGTAAAATATTTTAGGTGTTGCATTTAAAAAAACAAATTTTACTGCTAAATGTACATTGAATTTTGATTATGCAGACATTTTATTTAAATTATAACATTAAATATTAAAATGATTTTCAAAATATATAAAACGTTTGATTGAGATCTTCAAAAATACGTTTATTAATACAGATATAGATATTAATTTAGAACTCAAACAACAAAAAACAGCGTTATTTACAAAATTTTCACGGGACTAGTTTCGATGGTTTTACCGAACCACCATCCTCAGCTGTAAAACCGCAAATGAACAAGTTAGGAAATAATGATTAGATAAGATAAGAAACCTGGACGAGAATAAGCATGTGGCGCCATCTGTTGGTGAAACCAGAACTAAAACATAATTTCTTTAAAGGCCGAAGGCAAATTTGGATTGGAATTAGGATCGTTAACTAGAACAGAAAGATTTTTATGAATGTGAAATGCCTCTAGAAAATCCAGTTCTCCAATGGAAGATGTTTTTTGAATAATTTTGGCAGCAGAAAAATTGAAAGTGTGATTTTCGGACCAACAATGTTGAGCAACAGAAGACTTCTGTGTTTCCTTTTTTCTAACATATGCCTCATGTTCCTTGACGCGAAATTTTAAGGCTCTCTTAGTTTGGCCAGTGTAAATTAAACCACACTGGCAAGGAATCCTATAAATACCCCAGGAATTCATATCCGGAATGGGGTCCTTGAGTATGGAACTCGAAATTTTATTGATGGGAGAATAAACAACCCGAAAGTTAAATTTCTGCAAAATATGTGCATCCTTATAGCTAATTGATGGAAAGAAGGGAATGACAACAGAACTTTTATAATCTCCTAAAACAAGAGTGTGCCTTTTAGTGTGTTGAGATGAGAATTTTTTAACTGCTTGATTAATAATGTTGGGTGAAAAGCCCCTGTCAATAGCTATTGCTTTTAAATAATTTAGTTCTTCATCAAGGGCTAGTTTGGAAGAGCAAACTTGAAGAGCACGGAAAACATAGGAATAAAATGAAGCTAACTTTTATTTAGTTGGAGTGACATGATTTAAAGTGTGGTGGAAGGCAAACCGATGAAGGTTTACAGCAAACCATAGTACTGAAGTTGGATGTGTTACGTGTGACCAGAATGTCGAGAAACGGAAGAGAATTGCAAGTCTCAAGTTCAAAAGTGAACTGAATAGCAGGATCAATAGAATTCATTGTTGAAAGAACTTTATTTAAATCATCTTTATTACCTTCAAATAGGGTAAAAGTATTGTCTACGTAGCGGAACCATGCCGGGAATTTTAAAGTTTCAAACAATTTTGATTCATAATAATGCATGTAGATATCAGCCAGGATGGGACTGAGGGGGCTTTCCATAGCTAATCCCTCAGTTTGCTTGTAATATTTATTTTGGAAAACAAAATGTGTTTGTTTCAAACAGAGTTGAGTGAGATAAATTAGCTCATCAATTTCAATGCAAGAGAAATGAAATTCGCGAAGTCTGGTTTCTAGACATCTTAATGCACCTTCCACTGGGACATTGGTGAATAATGATTTTACATCAAAAGAAATCATGAGTAAATTACTAGGAGAAATGTTTTTAACCTTTTTTACAAACTCTATTGAATTTCTTATGGTGTAAATGTTATTGTCTAATAGAGTTGAAAATCTAGAAACTAAATATTTAGCTAATGGATACGAGGCAGTACCTAAATTTGATACAATAGGGCGGAAAGGGGGCTCATACAAAGTTAAAGCGTTTACAGAAATTGATTAGAAAACCAGATGAGGAGTTATCCAGCTATTTCACCTCAGAATCTATAGTCTGGAAATTAATTCCCCCTAGATCACCGAATTTTGGTGGACTTGTGGGAAGCGGGAGTTAAATCCTTTAAGTACCATCTTAGAAGAACTATGGGAATGTACTAAGGTTACTATGGAAGAATTTCTTACAATCATTACTCAGATTGAAGGAATTTTAAATTCACGCCCGTTAACCCCTATGTCTAATGATATTAATGAATTTGAAGTTTTAACGCCAGGGACATTTTTTAGTCGACCGTTCAATCACGTCTATACCAGGGCCTGAACTTATTGAAATCACTGATAATAGGTTATCAAGGTGGCAGCGGACAACAAAATTTGTTCAATTAATATGGAAGCGTTGGTAAACAGATTTCCTCAATCACTTGCAACAGCCCAATAAATGGCAGTTTCAGAAATCCAATGTAGAAACAGGTGCAATGATTTTATTTAAGGATGAGAATTTGCCGCCTTGCAATTGAGCCTTAGGTAGAATTTTAGAGACAATTCCTGGTACAGATGTTTGCAACAGCGCAATAAATGGCAGTTTCAAAAATTCAATCTAGAAACAGGTGCAATGGTTTTACTTAAGGATGAGAATTTTGCAGCCTTGCAATTGGGTCTTAGGTAGAATTTTAGAGACAATCCCTTGGTACTGATGGTAAGGTACGTGTAGCTAAAGTTAAAACTGCTTCAGGAATCTGCACTAGATCTATATCAAGGATATGTTTATTGCCTATGTAATATTCAAATTTCTACTGACTTTATATATATTTGTGGAATCAGTTTATACATTACAAGAATTTAATAATGATTATATGTTTAAAGGATTTGTATGGCTTATTTTGAAATGTCACATGTAACACTGTCACACATGTATTGTAACACTTTTTATGTCAACTTAGTATATATTGTTTGCATAATTACTATTTCAATATTTAATGTTCTTAAACTCCATAATTCAGTTTTAGATCTGTAATAATCTGACAATTATTTATGTGATTATCAGTTTTGAAATATTGTGATTTGTCACTAATTAATTAATTAATTGAAATTTTTGTATCAAATTTCAATGCCGGGCGGAATGTTCCATCTCGGTTAGAATATTTATGTCTATTTGGACTGGCTTAATGCTTGCAGCGCTACGTAATGTTAGTGGCGAGAGCCCAGTACTAATCAGTAAGCGATAGGGATGCACTCGGTCTACACCGAGTCTCCGCTCCTCTGCCCGAACAAAGCGGCAGTCAATTGTTAATTGTTCCTTACTCACTCTTTGCCCATTTAAGCGGCATTATTATTTTTGAAAAGAAAATAAATGTTGTTAAGTTTCTCAACTTGACTTTTATGAATTAATATACAGTCCACAACTACCAATTGCTATCAACAACTTGGAACTGACAATTGTTTAGTGAACGCACTGCTATGCCTTTGTAAATCTTTCAGTTTCCTACTAAAGAAATCGCGAGATTTGTCGACCAACTTAGAGTGAATGGTCTCAAGATGCTGCTTTAGCTTATTTGGATGCATACATCTGTTATATTTGTATTTCATCATTATTTAGTTCTACTAAAGTAAAAGCAAAGTAACTTTTTTTGTAGTTACGACATTTTCGCCTCTTTTATTCTCCAATTGTCAAAAGCAAGCGAAAAGCTGTGCCGGAAAAGTAAAAATGCAGGGCCAAGTCTGTTTAGCATTGAGTAAATTGCTATCTCACTAAATTGACAAGACATCGTCAGAAGTCTCCAAACTTGATGACATTTTGGTTCAGTTCCTATATAACTGTAATTGGTATCGTAAATGAATAACTGGAATTGATCTTGATGTAACTGTAACCATATCCAGCCCACATAAACTTTCCAGCAATTTCGAGAAGTAGAAGGTGCTAGAATTTCTCAGCAGCTGAGAGAAAACTATGCAGGCTGATTTTTAAATTAATGGTACTTAAAGGGGAAGTACAGAGCAAAGATACGAATGATAATCACATAGAAAGCCCAGTTTGCAATCCATTTATTTAGTCATAAATACAGGGTGTCTCACTTCAACTGAAACCAGATGTTAACAAGAACTGTTCAAAATTCCATCCACCAACAGCAATACATACTTGACAGCATCAATGGAGCAACTAGCGTACACTGCCAAAGATGAGGTATTTCAAGCACACATGGAGCAGCTACTGATATTCAAGCAACGAGATCCTCAGTCGAGTCATCTGGAGTCGCATAAACAAAACTCTTCCCAGAAAAAGTAATCAAGGCTCAATAAATTGGGAGATCGGGTGGCCAAGGGACTGTCCACCACAGTGTTAGTTTGGTACATTTATATTTACCGTATTGGCAACACCAAGTTCTCTCTTCTCTGTGTGTGAGCTATGGATGCCGATGTAATGTTGTGCACTTGTTGTTAAGTTTCAATAAAAAATGTGAAAAGATACGTTTCTTATTTTTCGATTTGCTTCTTCATATGATATCGATTTATTTAACATGGTAGCAG